AATAAAATGGTAGAGGTTTCTTTCTAATGGATATAAATTTATGGCTTTGTTTATTTTTTCTTGATTTATTGGAGAAAGGTGTGGATATTTTTATATTTTAAGATGAAGAGAAACATTCATTTTAGTGAAATGAATCAAGAATTTAAAGTGTCTTTTTTGCCTATGCTAGTGAAATGATTCTTGTCATTTTAGCTAATTTAATTTAAAAAAATGGAGGTATTTTTGGTCAATTATGGTTTAAAAGAAAATCTATACTACCTTTGAAAAAGACAGGAATAGCCATAAAAATATTTCTGGAATTTTCTCAAGACAAATTTCACCCCTCTATATTTAAATTTATTGATAAAACAAGACCGTAAATAGGGTTATTGGTTATTGATATTAAATGAGTTGAAAAAGGTAATACTAAGGTATTCAATGCATTGAATTCTCTCTCATTAAATCCAACATTTAAGTTATTAACTTGCATTTACCTCCATTGAGTCATATATTTAATGCATTTTTGTTTCTTATCATCATTAAATTCTATTAATTAAATCCATACATAATAAATTAATAGTTCCAATAACATAAAAAACTTACACTTTTAAAATATACCTAAAAAATAGTGTTTTCATCTAGGTGGTGGTAAGAAATTAAACCATTTTGAGTCAAATGGGTCAATCCATGTGTCCACAATTAAATAATAAATTTTAAAAATAGATAAAATGCAAAAAAAATATAGAAATTAAAAAAAATTGGGGACACTTTTATCATAATATACTCAACATATCAAATAATAATAAGTATGATAAATAAGAAATGTTTTAATTAATGGTGGAAATGGAATATAAAATTTAAAACCAGTTGGAAATAAAACTATTTTTCATATTCTATCTCATTAAATCTCATATCTAAAGTATATTCTCTCATTAAATCATATATTTAAGACCTCATCATTAAATTCTAATAATTAAATCCACAATATTAATTTTAATAGTATAAAAATAAATATTTTGAAAAGTAATTTGAAAACAAAACCATTTTCTTCCCTCTTGGTGGTGGATAAGAAATTTAACAATTAAGGTCAAATGGTTTAACCAATAATGTCATAATTAAATAATAAATTAAAGAAATAAAAAATCAAAATACAAAAAAGAAAAAAGAATTGGGTATATCTCTAATACTATATATTCATTATACTAAAAAAAGAATTATTATATGCAAGAAGTAATTTTATGAATGACGAAAATGGAATGTCAAATGTAAAATCAACCTAGAAACGAAATGAAGTCCTAATCAAATAAGAAAATATTTAGAAATAAAAAATATAATGAATCACAAAAATAAAGGAAAATTAGAAAAAAGTTGGGGAACTTTTTTGTTGTTATATATTTATAAAAATAAAAAAATAATAATCAAAAGAATAGATAAAAAATTATATCTTAATTATGTCAAACAGAAATTAAGTGTGATAAGTAAAAATTATTTATGTAATGTAGATGAAATATATCATTTTAAATTGAATCGAAAGCAAAGATATTTTCTTATCTAGATGGTGGATAAATGATTCAACTTTTCAATGATACTCATGATGTCATAGTGAACAAAAAATGTTTCAAAAAAAGATAGAACACAAAGAATGAAAAGGTACAAAATTTTGTTGAAAACTTTTGGGAGCACTTCTAATGTTCAATATTCATCATATTAAATAAAAAGATTTGTTAAAATAAAAATTCATGTTGCCACAATTAAATAATAAAATTCAAAAATAGATAAAATGAAAAGAATATAAAAATTAAATAAAAAAATATTTTTAACATCATATATTTGACATATTAAACAACAATAAGTATTATAAATAAGAAATGTTTTTATTAATATTGGAAATGAAATGTAAAATTTAAAACCAATTGGAAATAAAACTATTTTCCTATATATTCTCTCATTAAATTCTATATTAAGGTATATTTTTTATCATTAAATTCTACTAATTAAATCCACAACATTAATTTCAATAGTATAAAAATAAATATTTTGAAAAATAATTTGAAAATAAAACCATTTTCTTCCCTCCTAGTAGCAGGTAAGCAATTCAAGCATTTGGGGTCAAATGGGTTAATAAATAGTGTCATAATTAAATAATAAAAGTTAAAATATATAAAATATATAATATAAAAAACAATAAGAATTAGACATATCTCTAATATTGTATATTCACTATACTAAATAAAAATAAGTATGAAATGTAAGAAGTATTTTTACTAATAATGAAAATGGAATGCCAAATTTACAATCAACCTAGAGATGAAATGATGCTATAGTCAAATAATAAATTTTTAAAAAATAAAAAATACAAAGAATCACAAAGAAAAGAGAAAATTTTGGGCACATCTCTAATGTTATATATTTATAAAAAATAAAATATTGGATACATCTCTAATATTATGCATTCAGTATATTGAACAGAAATAAGTAGCTTTTGGTAATATAACAAAAACAAGTATTAAACATAAAAAATAATTTTATCAATGATAAAAATGTAATACAAAATTTAATGTAATCTTAGAAATCAAACTTTTTTCTTTTTTAGGTGGTAGGCTAGTGGTTTGAGCCAAATGAATCAATCGATGATATGATAGTTAAATAATAAATCTTTAAAATGATTAAAAAAATACAAGTAATCAAAAGAATATATAAAAAATTATATATTAATTATGCCAAACACAACTTATGTGTGATAAGTAAAAATTATTTATATAATGTAGATGAAATATATAATTTAAAACTAATCAAAAAGCAAAACTATTTTCTTATCTAGATGGTAGGCCAATGATTCGACTTTTTAAGGAAAATCGTGATGTCATAGTTGAATAGTAAATATTTAAAAAAAGATAGAACACAAAAAAAATGAAAAAGTACAGAATTTTGTCAAAAACATCTCAGAATATTTCTAATGTTATGTATTCGTCATATTAAATAAAATTATTGTTAAAATAAAAAGTATTTTTATTTATGACAAATGCACGCACACTAATTACTTCAAGAATTTAAATTTATTTTTAATCATATTGTTACTTTTGTTAATTTTCAATTTCTATATGTAAAATTCAAGTAATTAGCATGAAGAAAAATATCTCACGTGTAACACACATGCTTAATTACTAGTAGCAATAAAAAGAAAATAAGAAAAATTCAAATGACCATTTTGGCAATTTAACGCATTCCATCATTTAACTTAAGGGTAAAGGACTTAAACCTCCCCTAAGATTTAAGATAAATACTTATATCTCCCCTTTAATTTCCGTCAAGACTTAAAGCTCCCCTATTATGACAAGATTTGACAAAATTGATGAAAAGACCTCTATACCCTTCATTATTCTTTAAATTGTCAAAGAAAACCACAGAAATATAACCCAAAGGAAGATATGATCACTTATATAAAGATGATGTCATGCCAAACAAGGAGAAGCAAAAGCTGAAACTCATTGTCGGCTCTGGTCTACATTTGACAAACAGTAGGTCCGTTGGGGGGAAAAATGTATAATTGTTTAAATTTTCTCTCCTTGTTTTCTCTCTCATCTGGAGCTGTGAATTGAAATCAAAGGTATGCTAGTACAAAAGGAAAGGAGGTTTGAGCCTCCAAGATCTCTCTAGCCCAAAAGAAAGAATAGGAAAGGGAAGAAAGGGTATATATATATATATATATATCCATTTTTTGGTTTGAATCAGTATCACCATGGCTCTGTGGATCAGATTTAAAGCACAATATTCTTGTTTTTTGCTTAAGCTCACTTTGTTGAGAAATGAATCTCTTAAATCTTTCCATCCCTTTGCTGAATAAGTGAGCTCCAACGGTGTTTTGATGGTCAAGTGTCATATTCATGTGAAAACACAAAAGCTCAAAATCATTTTATCTTTTAGCAATTTGTTGCATTCTCTTCCCAGAAACACTTAAATGGCCACTTGGAGATCGGTGCTCTATTGTTGATATTCGTTGGGTTTTTTATGTCCTTTATATGATTTAGATATCTTTTGTTTCAAGATTCTTGGTGAGAATAATGTGACAATAAAAAAGTTTTTGCTAGCAACTTTTTTGTTTGATAGCAGAAAACTAGGGAAAATTGCGAGAAAAGGGGTGATAATGAAGGGAAAAATTGGGTTTTACAAAAAAAAAAAAAAATGGCAGATCATCTTATGTGCATACAATGATCTAGACAGAATATTTAAGAAGGGGATATTTTTGTTCAATAACTTAATTCAATAGGGGAATCTTAGTTTAATTTGAAAATAAAGGGAAGTTTCAGTATTTGGAAGAAATCTTTAGGGAAGTTTAAGTTTTTACCCTTAACTTAATGGTCAAAGGGAGATTTATGGCAAAGTGAAAGTTTAAAGTTTATCGTAAATAAATATTTATCACTAACCCCATAGTAAAAGGTCTTTTTAATTTACCAATTGAGAATATCCTCCATCAGTCATGAATTCCACTATTTTCAAAATCAGACCAGACTGGACGGTCAGACCAGAAAAACTGAGAATCAGTCACCTGACCGGTTTCGTTTTCCCCTAAAACCGTTTTTTCCTTCAAAACCATTGATTTTGGTCAGCAAACCGCTGAACCGGTTGGTTAATTGTTTGAATGGTTTTGATCGTTTTTAAATTTTTTTTTGTCAAAACGGGCTGGCCTTTCGGGTCGAACGGTCAGACTATTCAAACCGATAACCGGACCCCTAATTAGTTCGATCACCAGTTCGTTTTTAAAAACCATGATGAATTCAAAATGCCTCAGACCTGCTGGCCTAACACAACTAATTAATTGCATAACTCCAAACCAAACATTTATGCCCCATTTGAATAGGCTATTTCAATTCCAACTGTTTAATTGAGTGGAATAGAAATCTCGCTAGAATGGCATTTCCTAGTTGAGGGAATGATCATTTCTTGCCCCTAAAAAATGAAATCCTATTTCTACTGATTCCAATTTCCATTCTATCCTGTCTGAACCAAATATACCATGGCAATGGACCATACACACGATTAATTTATAGTCTTTTAGACTTTAGAGATTACCAGATTAATACATGTAATTTTAATTTTACAGTCCAGGAAAAAAAATGAAAAAGGGACATAATCTGTCTGCATAACGTACCCATTTAAAATCCGGAACGAAGATAAAATATACAAGGAAAAAAATCTACGACTCAAGCTTGGCATACCAGATCCCTTGGATCTTCACGTCTTTAGGAGTCTTTGCTCCCAAATCAGTATCAGATGGCTGAATGCTCTCGAATACCCCGATCACCTCACCGCTCTCCGGTTTGCTCTTGGTCACGCTAAGGCTTATGGTTCCAGTGGAGGATGAAGGATCCTTAATGTTTTCCTTGGTTAGTTCCTCCTCGTCCCCTCTTCCACCGGCCGGCAATGCAACGGCGTTGTCGTAACCCGTCGAACCACCTCTTCCCTTGGGGTCTAGGAAAGACGAACCCCTGTAAGATGGCACAAGGAATTGCCCTCCAAAATTCTCAGGCTTGCCGGACGCTACGAGCTGCTTGATGGTGAAGAGGAAAGGCACACGCTCGCCTCCTGGGAGCTGAACCGTAACGGCAGCGTAGTCGATTCCGTCTTTCTCCTCGAATTTAACGGTTCCGTCAGTGGACACTTCGAAGGGTCCCTCGATCTCGTCCAGTGTGTAGGTTAGACGGGTCATGAGCTTCGTCTTCTGAAACTCGGGAGGGGAGTTCTTGCTGACACCCTCCGCCTTGACGGTGAACGACGTGGGTTCCAAGCAGAACTTCTTCATGTTGTATTTGCCGGACTTGAAGCCGAAAGAGTCGATGCCGCCCTCAATGGTTGGGCACTGGTTTGCGGTTCCGGTTCCCTTCACCTCCATGTATGTCTTGCTCTGAATCTCGTCGTAGGTTAGCCGTTTAGGGACTCCTTCGGCATTTGCTCCCTGTAAGATAACACTTATACACAGTTAATACTTTCCATCCAGAAGAATTAATTGTCCGTCAATTACTACCTGGGAGTGATGATCCGTTGAACCATCTCTCATCTCTCACTGAGAGCCGCTCATTGGATGATGGATCACCACTCTTACAGAGAGACTAGTAGGGAAAAAAGTTCAACAAATTGGCATTTCGTCCCACGAGGGCCAAGACACAAGACCACGATGTGTGATGGCTATTGGCTATTCTCCATATGAATCGTAAAATGGAACAGATGAGTTGATCCTAAGATTTCTAGCCATCTAATAAAATGAGCTACAGCTAGCATATAATACTCATAGCCCTTAAACATAGAGAATTGGATAGCCTCAGTCATCAGACTTAAATAATTGCTTCTACTATCACATAACTCTGACTGACTATCCCTACATGGTTAGCTTGGAAAATCTAATCGATATATTCTGAGAAATGGTCTAAGTATGAACTCGTAATGTTTTACCAAGCACACGATAAGCTTCTCTGTATAAAATAACAGATCCAGTTGCTTAGAAATCATAAATTTCCTATTAAAAGTGTAGTTCATCTTTTTTGAAGCAAAAGGGACGAAGACATACCGATACGACAAGAGCAGAGGTTGCAAGTGCGAAGCCGGCGATCTTGGAGGCATCGACGCATTTCTGAGCGAAGTCTTTGAGATCGCTCTGAAGAGAGCAGGTGAGCCTGGCTCCGGATGTTTCGAAGCCGAAAGCCTTGCAAACACTCTGAGAGGATCTCAACTGCTGTCCACTCCTAGACGACACGCCGACCTTGGTCGGCTGCATCAGAGTTGCCGCGGCTTGAAGAGAGGCTGCCATTGTTTCCGGTTGTCGCCTGTTTCGCTTTCTCCTCCTCCAGTAGGCCTATCGCACTCCTTTACAAAGAAGCGCTTGTGAGTGGGGGCCAAAGGAAAAGAGTATTATTGGATGGCATACGTATGAGGCGGATAAGAGACTGGATAAGGAAATCTCTTATTAGTGGCTTTGAAGCTATGTCATTGATGTCATTTTTGCCACGTGGCCCTTTCGACTGGGGATAAACAAATTCTTGGATTATTTTGATTTTGTACCTGGACGCAAGAATCAGAGTGAGAGGCTGGAAGATGCCCCAGGAATTCGAGACCGACGAAAGGGCCCCATCCCAGATCCGGTGGGAAAAGGGGAAATAGGCCTTGAGCTACGGTGTTAATATTATTTAGATGGTATGGCCACTAAGGAATAAATGGCAGCGGAACGACCGATATCCGGCGCCGATCCATACCAATATTTATCGGGTTTGGCTCCACGAAGAAACCACATACGATAAAAATGAATCCGGAATGGTTCTATATACATGCATTTTTTTTCCAGGATCTGAAATCTGACCCATGGACTAACCTGGAAAAGTAAATGGATTTGCCTAGATACACTTCGGTTCTGATTACCCATTCACACCCTGCTTATGACATCAGAAGGAAGTTGTAATAACCACGTGGAGGATTATCAATGGGGTTAATCGGGTTAATCATGACTATAGCTACAAAACAGCTTGGATCAAATTAGACAGGGCCACGGGGGTATATATTCAAATCCGATTGGATGAGAATTCAAGAGATTTGGATTTGATATGGATATGTAAAATATGGATTCAAATTCGATTCATTTACATATCCAGGTGTCAAATTTGAATATGATTCGATTCATATCCTAATATTAAAACTATATATATATATATATCAGAAATTATTTATATATACCCTGTGTTTTCAAAACCTACTATATTTTTTATTTTTCAAACGTTAACTCTAGCAAATAAAAAAAAGTAAAAGATAGAAGTATCCTTAACTGTTCATTGAATTTTGAAAACGTGTCATTCTCTCTCTCTTCTTCTTCCTCCTTCTCATCTTCTCTTTATTTTTCATTCTTTCTTACATTTTTTGTTATATTTAAATTAATTTTAGGGAAAATTCTCGATAGGTACCCTATACTTTAGGTTGATTGTCAATTTAGTACCCAAACTTTAAAATGCGATAGTTTAATACCCAAACTTTTGAAATGCTGACAATTTAGTACCTACCATTAATGGGTTGTCAGTTATGCATATCACATGATCTCATGTGCCATTTAATATTTTTAAAATGTTAAAATTACCCTTAAAATAAAATACACTATTCATTATCTTCTTTCTCACGAAAATAAAAACAGATCTCAAGCTCTCAACAGTCCAAACAAAAACCGAAGAGTTTGCTTGTGCTTGTCGCTCGCTATCCTCCACCCGAACTGTAAACCACCAGCACGGAATGAAGAAACGATGGCCATCAGAAACATACGTTAAGGTTCTGAACTGGAAGCACGTCGAGGAATTGGTCGACAGAGATCTCGATGCGAGAGAAGGTGGTGCCTTTCTGCACAGATGATGAAGGTTCGAAGAACAAAAGGTGACCCTTGGTGCAATGGCCATTGTCTATCAGACTCCCACCTCTGTATTGCAACACAACAAATTCTTCCCTTCCCTATTATAGATTTTGGATGGATATCTTATTTGTTGGCATCGACTCCATTATCATCACAGTAAACGCCGACTTCTGGGCCAGCAGAGGGAAATAGTTCTGGCGGGTTATCTGGATTTTGCTTGAGGTTGAATGAGCTAAAAAAACATAGATTGTATGATGATACCATACTGTCATGGGGCTAGTCGACGAGGCCCTGTGCGGCGCTCGATGGGGTCGAGAAAGCCTACATGCAAGCAACAACACACAAAAGGCAACAAGAAGGCACACAAATTAGACAAAAGGCAACTTGTATTGCGTTAATCAGTGGTAAGCACAAGCACAC